ATGTTGCAACAGTTTCTGAGAAGACCACCTCGTCAGGAAGTCCGTTCCACGCTCCAACGACATTCTGTGGGAAGGCGTTCCGGCGGACTTCTATACGGATCATCTTCCTAAGCAGTTTAAGAGATTACTTCGCAGATCGTCCATTTCAGCCAATTCGAAGAAGTCATCAACTTCTAGGGCACACTAACGGCCTCTGACAATTCGATAAATTTGAATGAGGTTAACGCGTAGTCACCTGCGATTGAGGGGAAGCAAATTTAGTTCAGCCAGTCTGGCTTCATAAGGCAGATGACCAAGAATATTGACCCTTTTCGTGGCCCTCGGCTGCACTCGTTGCAGCTGCAGTCAATCTTTCTTAAACCACAGACTGCAGGCCTTAACGGGATGCTCTGTAGGTTTTTCTGAACAGTTCCTTGTCGACGTGAAAAAATCCTCGTCTTAGCCCAAATAACATCTGTTTCGCGGGTTTAGCTGCCTTTAGACACTGTGAAGACGGTTAAGCGAGGAGCTTATTAGAACACCGAGGTCCTTTGATTTCTCAACATTTTAAATGGGCCGCCCATCGAGAGGGTGTTGAAAGGAATCATCCTTACCGCTGGTTCTTCTACTACGGAGCCTTAAAACCACACACTTATTAACGTTGACATTCAGGAGCCAACGGGTAGGCCGACTGTTAATTCGGTTGAGACTTTCTTGAAGTGCTTGCCTATCGGCGTTAAAAAGTATAGCTCTCCAGGTCGTTAGAAAAAAATAATGGCACTGCCACCCAAATTGTCGACACAGTCGTTGATATAGACGAAGAAGTGCAATGACCATAAGACGGAGCATTGGGCGACATCCCTTAAAAGAGGGATAGGGGTAGACTTCGAGGCAACGATGCACACACTTTGCAATCACCTTGTGAGAAAATCTGTGAGCCATGTCAGCAGGTTTCCTCTTATTCCAATTTCAGATAATCTATAGATTATAAATTTATGTGGGATGCTGTCAAAAGCCTTCTTTAAATCAGTGTAGATGACGTCAACCCTATCATATTCCAGTGCACGACGCTCGCGTGATTG